TAACATAAAACTTTGATTGACAGAACGAATAAGACATACCCGTGTTGTAACAAATAAATAAAAGGTTTTGGGATTTTCCCCTAACTTCAAACGAAAGCTTTGTGGCTCATTATTATTATTTTTAATAATAATAAAAGGCTAGGCAATAAAACAGTACGATGACAAATTCACTTATATTAAACTTTGAACTTTTATTAACAATATGAATAAGGAAAATATGTTTTACCCGCATTGTAACACAAATAAATAAACGGTCTTTGGATTTCCTTTTTCTTTAAAACGATCGTAGTTTGTGATTCCTTATTAGCCTATTAATTAAAACACATCAGCCATAAAATAGTACAATGGCAAATTCGCATAGGCCTATATTAAACATCTAAGTTTTATTAACAAAATGAATAAGATGGATAGGCTATAGCCTACTTGTAACCCAAATAAATACGTTTTTCCCTCTTTTATAACAAATGCTTAGTTTATGGTTCGTTGTTTTATTTATTTTTATTTTTTTAATGAAAACAGCATCAATAAAGACAAACTCGCTTATATTAAACAAAGAAATGAAACTTTTATTAACAAAAGGTGCGCTTTGAGATCGGTTTACATAAATCAACAACACAGAGTGCCACCAGTGTAGCCTGACTCCTCAAAAACGAGCCATCCAAACATATACACCTCTAGTACCATTCAAGAAATGGCTTCAATAGTAGGATGTTTGGTTTCAGACTTGACACACCTAACAGCACCCATCTTCTGGTCTGTTTTTTCTACTCATTAGGAACAAAGGATCCAGCAGTAGCTACAGCAACAAGCTACCCCTTTATTCCAAGGTGTATTGACACTCTCCCAGACTAGCAGGTCCGCCTGATAGCTACCCACGTCCACAATGGCCTTTCCTCAGATGTGTAGTGCACCCTGCCTTCCTCCCAACAGAAATTACTCCCGCTGAAATGTGCCATTCATCCCCACGAATCAGATGCTGTGTCGCCTGCCAGTGCTGCCAGCCATTGAAACCCAACTGCAAAGCTCCAAATGAAGATGTGAAAAGCCAATCTACGTTCCAGCAGGAGAGGGAAGTAATTTTCTCTTCCTGCCTCTCTATTGATCTCAGCATGGCTGATTCAGAGCCCTGCTGCTTTCTGGGCACAGGAAGTAGAGAGAAATGGCCTCGCTGGGAGGAGAAGGCAAACAATTGAAGAAAGACATTTTTTGTCTTACCTTCATTGAGCATTTAAAATCGAGGACAAACAAGCCATGATAGACACCAGATTGTGAAGAATCCGCTGTATTTTTGTGCTTCCTCTCACTGTGACACCACCTCATTGGGCATCATGCTACAAGATAAATGACTTATTGTTTCAGAGAATATCCTTGGTTGCTCTTTCTCAGGCATGTACAAAAGCTGGTTCCACGAAGCATAATGCATGAGTTTACACATCCTTGTGGGAAGTCATTTCACTGTACAGTAGTTTCTGACCTTATTCTGTGCTGAACTCTCAAACACAATGCAGGAAAAAAGCACAAGGCCGGAGAAGTATACAAATTAAAGCAACCATTTTTCAAGTTTCAAAAATAACTACTAACTTTCTTCCCAGAAATGACTGGAAGCACACCAACAGTCATCAGTGTGTAGCAGTAAATCTTCAGCTCACTGCCCGGGGGAAACAGCACCTTACCTTGGTGACAGATGTGCTGCTGAATAACTTTGGTAAAATGAGGAGTAAACAGCCAATGGGCTTGTGCCACATTAGAGACAGATTATCAAGGTGCCATGCTGCAGGGAAGTTAGTCCTTCAAGAGAACCTGTTGATCCAGCCATGAGGGGTCAGTCTATATGCTTGAGAATAAAATCTAGAATCTTTAGTTATTGCCACACAACCAGGGCTAGGCGAATTGGCTTTAATTTATCACAGAGACAGCCACCCTGCAACACAGGTGCTGTGCTCAAAGGCATAAGGTTGATGGCTCATGGCGTGATTCTGGTGTTAATTGACCCAGCAATCTTCCAGTTACCAACCTTAAGCCTTAAGCCCTAAACACACTGCACGATTTTCGGCTGTCCCAGACGAAAGATTGGCATTGTGAAACAATCGTGGCGATTTCTGTGATCATGGCTCCTAATCGGTGGTCCTGTGTCGTACAGTGAGAGAGGTTCAATGACTGCCGCTTTCACGGTCTTGCAACCAAAAATAGCCTACGATACAGCGTGATCATCGCGCAGTGTGTTTGCTGGTACGATCCACGTTTACTGACCAACCAATAAAAATGCGACATGAAATCAACGTGACATGGTGCTAAAACATAAAACTGCTTACCTCAAGCTCTTATCCCTTCCTCTTTCGCCGCTTCCACTTTTTTTTTCAGCACACAAAAACTCTAACTGCTAAAGTGTGATTTATCATGCTCTATTTGTTTACCACTAGCGCATGCTGATGATGTTTTATTCTTCTATAGTAACGTGCGTCGTATCGTACGCCTCAATAGTCAAAACGTCATAGCCAAGTTTATTAGATCCAAGTCACACAGTGTGACATATGCAGTGATCTTATAGGATTGCTAAAATCATGCCGTGTGTTTTGGGCTTTAAAGATGAAGTCGTCTGTCATTTCTGAGCCACTAGCATCACCGGAATTGCACAAATGTATTTTCAAACAGGTTCTCTAAAAACGCATAGGAATTGTATCTATTTTTTTCTCACAATTTCTACCCGATAAAATAAAATGTAAAATAGATCAAATAAAATATATTTTAGAGCTGAACATTATATGAGAGCTGAACATTATATGATTATATTCATTTGCATTATTTAATTTAGGTCTATAAATCATACTTTTAGACTGGTCACAAAATTGTTATCATAATATCACAAAGTTAGGTGACAATCTATTTTTTTAGAGAGTTGGAACCAAGATTCTTAAAAAAAAAAAATAGTTGTCGAATGAGTTAGGCCTATATTAAAATGAAAACCATCCTGATTTTTAGTTGTTTAGGCTTATTTTAAAGCTTGTTTTGTCTTAAGTCATCTTTGAACATTTGCTCAGGCCCCCTGATTAAGAACCACTGTAATATGGTACTGATATTGGGCATCCCTTTTTTTTAAGCTTGGAATAGCACGAGGACCTATTCTGAAAAAACATATTCTTAGCAAAAGCAAACAGTTTCAATCAAGTACTGCACTGAAGTACATTAGACTCAATAGTACTCTGCCATCCCACTCACTATCTGTAAGAATAAAATTGTGGAAGAGGGCATTTGTATATATGATCCATTAAATTATATATGATATCCCCTATCGAGCCAGGTTAAGGTTTGTATATCACCACTTAAGGGTCTCTATAATGCTCTGATGGAGGTGAGGAAGGGGGTTGTTTTGCCGCCTGGGGAACTGCGAGATAGAATGGACTCATTTGCAGCTACTCTTCAGTGGACACTGTCAACTGCATGCCAAGTGGAGCTGTGCATTGGAGGTGTCAATGTGAGCTCCCATATGGCGACAGACCTCTCTCTACTTCTTTCTCTCTGTCGTGCCTCACACATTCAGAAACTCTCCCAACCTGCGCTAAAGGAACAAGTGTCAAACAGTGAAGCATGACCAACTGTGAAATTGTAACAGCTCATATTGATCTGAGAGTTGAGAATGACCCAAAGTTGTGCAAGGCTCAGTGCTGACACTTAGTCTTTTATTCCGCTTTAATGGTGCCTTTGGGTTTCTTGTTGAACCTGCACTTTAAAGTTAAAATGTTCAGTGCTAACAAATACACCTGCACTGTGCTTGTCGATATTTAAACTTGACTTTTCCCAAAGTGTAACCATCTCACTGTTAGAGCTTAAGGAGTTCTACAGACAAAAATTGCATCTCCGTTACTACTGATGAAAGAGAAAACTTTTGGAAATGATAACAGAGAGGGGCAAAACGTGCATCATTATGAAAATTTAATTTAATTAAAACTAAAATGATCTAAATGTTTGAAATGCAAAAAATAGGAATGCACAAAAAATTTTTTAGTCTGTTTAAATGTTATATGTAATATTACATTTATATTTTATATATCTGATTGACCTCAAAACGAAGCTTATAATCATTTTAATATTAACATTTTTTATTATATATATATATATATATATATATTCAAAAAGGAAAGCAGCATTAAAGTTATCAAAAGAGGCACTGTCACAGTAAAGACATTTATAATTTCTATTTTAAATAAATGCTGTAATACATTTGTGTGATAGTCAGAAGGTTGCTGCCATCTAAATGGTGCTCTGGCAACGAAATGGACTAAGATTTATGAATTTGAAACAAAAAAGAACAAAATTCAAAACAAAAAGCAACAGCAACTATCTCTCAGACTTTCAATTAGCTGTAATAAATGTACCTTGTCATTTACTTCACTACACTGAAAATACTCCACAGTTTTATAGACATTACAGATTCAGCAAAGGGCTTTGGTGCTTTAAGAAGCTAAAGGCTCATTTAGATACTACCGTGACCGTTTTGCTGCACTCAGTATTTTTTAAGATACAGTTCTATATCCTCCCACATCCCCTGCTCCCTCAGGCTAGCAGCACATAGATAGGAGAGGTTGTAGAAGTTGATTAAAAAGCCATAAACCCAGGGAGAGTAGTGTGACTGCACTGTGACCCCTAGAGCTCAAACATGGCAAATTGAAAGCTGATAAACTCCAGCACAGCCCCTCCACAATAACCAGCAACGGAAAAAGAGGGTCAGCGGTTATGATGATGCCTGAAGAGGAATTAACTCAAAGTCTGGGTGGGTACAGTATATATAGAGGTACTGCATGAAAAGATTTTACATGATACAGATTTTTGGACAAATCCGGGAGTATTACTGACCAGACACAGGAAATATTGTGGTCTATACTGCCAAATATGTACCAATTCGGATGTATGTTACTAAGGTATTCTTCCGTGCAACAGCCATTTGTTGCCATGGCAAGTAATCCATTCAAAACATTTTTTTCAGGGGGACATTCACACCTTTGTGCCACTGTGCCCTCCCCTTTTGGTCATTCGCGTTAAACTGGATTGGTTGATTTGAAACTAAACCCACCCCTAAACCGGACAGCTATTGGGCCACTCAAAAGTCATTTCATTGGTCAACTTGTGATTTATTCCACCCAAAACCCTTACAGAAAAGTCACTATATTGGTTGCATTTAAAATATATCCCTTCCACAAACCCTACAGGTGAATGATGTGATTGGTTGTAGACCATGGGCAGAACGAAAAAAATATAGTTTAACCAACAATTGTTTGTTTCTTCTTATTATGGGAAAATAGTAAATATCATCCAAAACAGTCTGAAAACAATTTCAATTAAAGATTTCAAACAAATGCAGTAAATAACACATGAAATGATGTGTCCCAGCAGTCTCCATTCCTCACTGTAGATCCTGTGTGCATCCACATCAACATCTTCCACATCTTACATTGAGCTCCACCATTTCTGTCCTCCACAATGCTCTTTCTGTGTTTGTCAATGTTGAAAAGCAACTGCAAAACAACAGTAATGTTGACAATAATCACTACAGGCTAATATCCTATTGAATAACTTAACATCATGTCAATTTCTAAACTTACTGTTGTCTCTCTTTGGCTTTTTTGCCACAACTGTGATTGAGTGTTTCAGCTGGGCCTTTCCAGAGTGAAACTATGAAAACTTCTTACTCATAGCCTCTTCATAAGTCTTGCAGGATACATAAAAAAACATAAAATATGTTTAGTAAAGGAAAAATATTTAATTGAATAGGTGAAACAATACAAAAATGGATAATAAAACATTGCAACAACCTTCTGAACTTGTGTTTCCATTTAAAATCTCTGAAGATGAGTTGACCCAGTCTTGTGTGTAGGATACTGTAGAAAAGAGGAAACATTATCTGAGGAAAAATTACAGTATAAATATAGTTTTGACATTAAGTCAAAGATATTAGTTAAGATATTAGTTTTACTAAATAATCAGTCTTACCAGGTTTGTGTATGATGTTGAAGTGGATTCTTCCCAGAGCTGTGCAAGCTTACAAATGTTTCAGTCTGTAGCTGTTGGTGTTCTCAAGACGTGTGACTTGAGATCAGGTCAAACACAAAAGTCTTTGTAGCAGGGGGTGGGGTGTGTGTATTTGTGGTGGATGGGGTCTGTGTTTGTGTGTGTGTGTTTGTGAGAAACCACTTCTCCTGATACATCAGTAAAGGACCAGGTCTTAATTTCTGTGAAATAATATGGAAAGAAGAATGAAACTGGGGAAAGGCGTCTGCTAAATGACTAAAAGTAAAAAAAGTAAAGTAAAAGAAAATGGATTCTGTTAGACCCAGATCCCAGTGGCCCATTAACTGCAAGTTTTACAATCAGCAGAATGACAACTGAAATAAGAAACTCTGAGGGTAAAAATGCTAAAATACTATTTCCTGAAATTACTTGCTGAGACAATGGGTGATAATTCCTTTAAATTCGAATTTAACAGCCTCGGTGGAATCTGTCAGTATAAATAAAGCCACGGAATGAAATGTATCAGAGAACCTCTGATGGTAACATTGAGAACATTACATGGCATTGCTTTGGTCTCTTAAGTTACCCTTCAACTGAAAAGCAAAGTGAAACTTCAAATCAAAAGTTACAAGACTTCAAGAAGGCCATGTAATTCCGTTGACAGAAAGTACAAGCACACGGAGTGCCAACTAGTTTGGCAACAAACAGATTTAAAATGCGGCTGTACACTATGAAAGATGACAGGTGGAAAGGGAAGTGACAAGGTAATAATTCACCAAGGACATGGGGCAATCCTGTATTTACCTTATGCTCGATGCAGAAACAAATCTAAATCCTAGTCCACTACATTGCATGCTAAAGGCACAGTATGAGAGTGTCAAATGCATAATGTGAGGCTAACGAACAACTGAGACTTCATTTATTCCTTCTATAACTGATGCATTTATAAAAGACTTTCACGTTTGCTGGGTCACGATGTCAGTAAAGCTACTTTGAGATCATTAGCGTTCGAACGGATTGTGAAATAAGTCAGCTGATGTGAGTGAATAATAGAGGTGAAAGTTGAATAATGTACTTCAGTCGTGGCCAATTTAGCGACTGTGGCCTTAATCATTACCATAGCTACCAGCTAAAAAACCTAATTTAATAGTCATTTCAAATCACCACTGGTGATTCCCAGTCATGTGTAGAGCAGAAATGTAGTAGCATGTCACACCTAAGCCCACGCAACATATGTTTTATCATCAAGTATTTAAAGCTTCAAGAATAACCAAAGTGTATTTGTGGTGGATGGGGTCTGTGTTTGTGTGTGTGTGTTTGTGAGAAACCACTTCTCCTGATACATCAGTAAAGGACCAGGTCTTAATTTCTGTGAAATAATATGGAAAGAAGAATGAAACTGGGGAAAGAGAATGCCTTTAAATCATAAAACATACATAGATATGTTCTCTAATGCTTCTGTCAAAAATATTAAGGCTAGCTATATTTGATTTTAATAATATTAAAACTAATTTGAGGCTGTTTTGCGAAACGGTCCTGGCTCACCCCCTCCCTCCACCTGAGAACACAGTAAGCACCTTAACTGCTGGTCATTAACATAAGAAAGGTCTGACAGCCACCAGTCCTCACAACCAGCAGTGTGTCAGCTGTATATGTCCATGAAACTTCACTGATTCCTGTATATGTCCGTGTAGTATGTATTTCTGGAAATTTACTGTTCTGTGTAACTTGGCTCAGGTAATTTCCACATACATCCGGCAAACCTGAAATTACATGGCACTTGACTTTACCATGGCCAGATATGACCAGATTTGACCCTTTTCATGCAGTGAGGCATACGCATGAGATGCAACAGTTCACCTTACTTCTGCCACTGAAAATGAGTATTGCTTTTTATTTCTCCTCTTTCCTACTACTTGTTTCACTTCTGTTTCAGTTTTTTATAACCATTTCTTACTATGTGTCAGTAAGTTGTTGTTATTTTAGCATGTGTGTTTGGCTCAGTGTTATTTTTTTAGGATTACTGATAAACTAATGTAGTTTGATTTGTATTAGTTATCTATTTTAGTTACAGTTGTAGTAATGTTGTCATTTTATGATACCATAGCTACCAGCTAAAAAACCTAATTTAATAGTCATTTCAAATCACCACTGGTGATTCCCAGTCATGTGTAGAGCAGAAATGTAGTAGCATGTCACACCTAAGCCCACGCAACATATGTTTTATCATCAAGTATTTAAAGCTTCAAGAATAACCAAATGGCACTTTAACAACTGTGTCATGTAATAAAAACCTAATCTGTTTTATTAAAGCAGTCAGCATAGTGTTACAGACCGATAGTTTAAAAATAGACATTAAACAGGAGGATGTGCCATACTGAATGCATCCACTGTAAGGTGTTCTTAAGGGAGTATGGCATTTGAACACCTTTTTGTTTTTATTTAATTCAGTCCCTCCCTCCAGCCACTCTCTTTAGATGCGAGCATATGAAAGATAGACATTCAGCATAGAAGAACAGGCTATCCATCTGTTTCAATGGCCAAAAATGATGCTAATACATCCTTTATTTAAACTGGGACTGTCCCCGTTTACGTAACTTTTGGCTCTGGGCCCAGTGAAGATGTGCCAACATTGAGAATTTATCCAATTTAATGAATTTCTGCTCCATAAATTGCTCATAAATGCCAGTGTTGTGTGAAATACCTGCCAGCGATACACTGACCCCTTTCTTAGTGAGCGCTTACCAGGTTGGCTCTCCTTAGAGGAATGAATCGATCCGAAAACAGTCAGAGTTAATTATAAATCAAAACCAGCAGACACTGACAGGGATACTGACGAAAAGCTCCCCCTGTACAGTGCAAGTCTGCCTCAGATACTTTCAGTCAGAAATGTTGCTCAAAAACATAAAACAACTCTCTCGAAATGTACCCTATAGACCCAAGAAAATTAGCAGAAAGGAAACATGTAAAAATAAAGGATCCCAAATTAAGTGGTTGGTTAAAAGTGGACTTCACATACCTTTGAAATAAAAAAAAATGACCCATTCAAAACTGAATTAAAGGGCTAAAAACTACCTTAGGTAGACAAAAGGTCACATTAAAAAGCAGAAAGACGATGACTCAAAACTCAAATTACCACCACTAGGGCGACCTTCACGTTTAAGACCAATAATGAAAGAAAAGCAATACACTGTTATTATAATTATAGAGAAAATTATATTTTACCATGCATGCTAAAATATAAGTAATTGGTGCAACTAATTGATGTTACCAAAACAAAAACTTCACATGATGTCAGCAAATTATATAATGTTACCAAGCTGCCAAATTTAAAACATTTGCAAGCAGAATTCACAACTAAATACCACAAAAAAATATAAAAAACAGTTTGCAAGACATAAATGCATGTAGGCCTATGTTTAAAAAAATACAAGATATAACACTGGCCCAATACAGCAAGTGACAGCTTTATCAACTGAGAGTTTTGGCCCAAAACTCTCACTAATGGCCTCCACACTATCTTTATTCTTGAGTCCTGGAATGTATTTATAATAACTACACATTTGCATTGCAAGTTTTCTTTATACCCTGTTAAGGTTCTCTTGCTATTGGTTAAACAAAACCACAATGATCTTTTGTCCCTCTCGTTCACCTCCTCTACAGCGTACAAAAGCCGACATGGCTTGTGTCTGAGGCTGTTTGCCTCTTAATCACAGAGGAGAGAGGCCATTAGGGAGGTGCAGCGGTGAGCAGGATTTCACAATGGAAGTCATTTGGTCATTATCAGGGATGAAGTTAAATGAGAGAGTTGGGTTTACTAATGAGGTGGTTTTATTACAGAAGAGACACAAGGCATTATAAGCATGCAATGGATGGTACTGATGTTTGCCAATCTCTTTCTTTCCTTCTTTCTTTCTCAGGTTTATCCCGCAAAGGCAAACCATGTAGCTCCAAAGCAATCTCAGAGGGGTGCCATCACATTTCTCTGATGGAAAAATCCTTTTAATGCCATAACACATCACATATGCAATATTTACAACTCTGCACAGGAGGCAAACAATTATTGCAATGGTAAATGAATGGTAAATTCAGCTGCTGTCTGTATAGATTTCACTATAAGTGCCTCTGAACGGCATAAATGAAAGTTGAGAGCAAATTGACTATCAAATGAGTTAATTAGACACCTTAGTGATGAAAAATAACAAGTGCAGAAGAGAGAAAAATTTGTGCAAAACGTTTGTCAATGCTTCTGGAAATATTTCAGGGCATCTGTTGGGGTTTTCTCACGCACATCACGCATTGTGAGCAGTACAACAAATTGCTCAAAATGAGCAGGAGCAAAGCACCATGTCTAATCTAGCAAAAGTGTGTACAATTAGTCAGAGCTGACTGATCACCTCAGACAAATTAAACAATTGTATAACACACAGTTAACAATCTCCAGTCCTTCTGTTTGAATGCAGTGACAAAATATGTCCAGCTGACAATATTATTCAAGTTTATATGGTAAATGAACCTACAACCATTTATGCTGTGATCAGTGGTGGAAAGAGTACTGAAAATTTGTACTTAAAGGGATAGTTCACCCAAAAATGAAAAAACTGTCATTAATTACTCACCCTCATGTCGTTTCAAACCCGTAAGACCTTTGTTCATCTTCGGAACGCAAATTAAGATATTTTTGATGGAATCTGAGAGCTGTCTGACCCTGCATAGACAGCAATACAACTGAAAGATTGAAGAATGAAGAATTTTCATTATTGGGTGAACTAACACTTTTAAGTACAAGTACTGTTACACTGCTGAAATAATACTCAATTACAAGTAAAAGTACTGGTGCCAAAACAGTACTTAAGTAAAAGTACAAAGTACTCTTCTCAAAAACTACTCAGAGTACTAGTTACTAGTTACTTTTTAGCAGCCGATATTTAATGAATTACCAAAAAATATTCATTCATATCAAAGATCTATGTGGATAATAGCTACTTTGAACAAAACCCACTTTTATCTTATTGACAAAGTATGTGAATTAGTGGTCATGATACAGGAATTTCTAACTTCAAT